ATATATATATATATAATGTTGTATTTAGTGAACAATAATATAGGTAACTACAGTGCGATTATAATTAATTTATGTGTCAAATACAATTAACTGCATAAAACAAATAACATACAGTGCCGATAGAGAGATTAAACACGTAAAAATAAAAATGCAAATATTAAAAGTACTTCTAAATTTATACGCATATATATTTTTCAAAAATCGTTGGTTTTTTACGTGAGTTTACAATTAGTACTTTTTAAAGCTCTACATATAAAACATTTATTAATAGACGTAATATAAGGGCAATAAGAGCCAGACGCTGGATGTTGAGTGCGGATATAACAATCCTTCGTGTCTTGTTTATTTGAAATTGACTATGTCAAACGTTTCGCTTACATTGACGAGTGCACGGTTTATCACAATCACGCACCGTTGTTGAAGTCCAGCGATGACACTCGCAACGCATTACAAATTAAGTGTAGACGCCAAATACTTAGTATGGTATCAGGATGAATCGTCTTAGAAATTGCACTGTAGAGAACAATAGTAACCGTTGTTGGGTTTACAGAAAATTTGACAAATATTACGACCAGTCAATTTCAAATAAACAAGACACGAAAGATTGTTGTATCCGCACTCAACATCCAGCGCCTGACTCTTATTGCACTTACATTACGTCTATTAATTTGGTTTTGTATTCCAGCCCAACGGGTGAGGGAGCTTGGTTTTCGCCAGTGGAGCGACTTTCGCAAGGAGGCACTTGGATCCACGGCTCTGGCGCCATTTTGTTGAAAAAATTTGTGTATACTTTAGTGTATCGAGAATAGAATTAAACAGATTTTTATTTGTTTATTATAGTTTTGAAAAAAATCCCCGAAAATTGGCTCTTTTGGACTCTAGAGCCCTTAATACATTTGCACCCACTTTTACGTACGATCTGTAGACACTGAAAACTTAAATGTAATATCAAAACGATTTAGTTCGCAACATCACCATGACTAACAAATTAGTTCGAGCCCAGCTACCAGTGCTCACACGTATACATATATTTTATAACTCGACTCTGTCTTATTTGACGATGACTGACTTAGATACGTTACCCCAACTTTTAACTAAATTCTTTTTACTTATTAACCTACATTTCATAACTGCGTTGTTAATTTGCAGTATCACTCGAAAAGAACCCAAAAGAATAAGGTCGAAACGTTGTGCAATAAACTGATAAAATAATTAGTCAGGTTTCCCGTCTTAATTCTTACATAATATTAAAAAACGTTTGATAATTTAAAAAATAGATTATATTAAAATTATTGGGAGAGGATTTAGATAATAGAGTACACAATAAAAATTTTATTTATAAAATGAAAACAAGAGCACAATATATTAATGATTTGGGTTTGGTATATCCACAATCTCCATCATATTGCACACCAATAGACCTGAAAAATAAAATAATTTGATTCATCGAGCTATACATTTCTTTAAATACAACACGTTGATAGCAAAATTATACCTCAGATAGAGCTAATAATAAATAATCACAAAGTTTCATACGAAAGATGGTGATGTGTTTAAATCATCATTAAATACGTTCAAGTAAAAATATATGTGATATAATAATTACATTTATATAAATAAATAATTACACTTACCATTTACAGTTTTGCAGTTATGCTATCATTATTCATATTTAGAATCATAATGTCTTCTGCAGTGTGTATCGATTTATTGTTCCCAAAGTGGCTGTGAGAACCTCACTTTTTCAATCAAACTCCTTTTAATGCTCCAATTAATCTTTCGTAAAACATACATCGGAACTAAATCAGAGATCTGATTAGTCAATCGTCCTTACACGGAGCTATGCATCATCCTGATTTCTTCTGTAATGAGATACGATTATTTGATGTACCTACTTAGCAACTCGAGTACGCATTAATTTTTAGTATTTCCTCAGTGGTAGTGACGAATTATATAAAATCATGGTTAATCTTTAACATATTCAAGGATATGCATCACCGAAATACATTTAAAATATTTAATAAAACTACACATCATAGAAACTTACCGTGTAGTCAAAAATATCCCTTTTCTCGACTTATCGTCCGAGATATCTGAAATACAAAAGTGCGCTTTAGATCCACTTTAAACTCGATACGTTGAAAACATATAAATACATAAATGATATCAGATAGGAGCGAAAGACTATAATGCTAAATTATCGTCAAGGTATTTCAGCTGAACTATGTTCTCATCATTGTAATTGTATAATCCGTATACATTGTAAAAAATTAATATATAGATACAATTATATCAAAAGTACATACCTTGGATGATGACCGCCCCATTATGTGTTTCCTCTGTGCGACGCTAGATCATATTTATGAATTCCCCATACAGTTTGCCAGAAGTGTTACTGAACTACAGTACCTGCAAATAGAAGAACTTTGTGTTACGCCTAATTAACAAATAAAAATAAAATAGCTTTATTAACAATAGAATCAGCACTGCAGGACTTCTCGTCATTAAATCCGACAAATCAGTAAATCATCATTAAAATATCGCGAAACAAATAAAAATCATAAATTATTAAACAGCCTTCTACAATATAATAACCATGCATACGCTGAAATATTAAAGAGAATTAAAAAGGTCTCTTCTGCGAAAATTCAACTTTACATGGAATAATATACCATAAAAATTATTTGCGTTTTACAGCTGTTACAAATACAGACGTGTTGATGTTAATTGAAATCAACTTACCACTTTATCATTGCATATTCAACATTTTTTGAATTTTGCCTGAACAAAGACTCTCGGAACATCAATGTTCTCTTTTAAGTTTACTGTACGTCTCTGGACGTAGCCACAATCCAGTGTCTCGAAACCAACAGATTCAAATAGACATGCTACTTGTTCTACGGAGAAATAGTAACTCCTGAAAGATCCAAATAACACCTTATCATTACTTCGTTCTATGCAATTGGGATATAGCTGCGTTAACTGATAAAATCAGAGCTCGAAATAATTTATATCACTAGAAATCAATTGAACTATGAAATCATCATATCCTTTTACTCGCTTAAATAGATCGCAACAGAACGGAAAGTATAAAATCACCTGGTCCCGTCTTGCCGCATGTAGAGATTCTCGCTAATCTTGTGCCCAGGCTTAAAACGTAATTGTGCCATATCGTACAATCCGTAATCTCTAAAAAGCAAGACTCCCCCGCTGCCAAGAACGTTGTATATATTTCGGGCAACTCTATTAAATAAATACACAATACGCAATTAGTAAATTCGCCAACATGAGAATCCTAAAGTAATATCGGAATTGTAGTCTCAACTAAAATCAGTGGACCTTATCACCTAAACGTACTTGACAAATTTATCCGGATGAATAGCCGATAACGCGAAGATCAGCGTTGCAACGTTAACCGGACATTCGATTTCGGCGAAGCAATTCTCTAACGTAACGTCCGTTTGAAAAGCCCTCATTGTTTCCGGGTGGTACAACGTGTGACTCTACGAGAAAACCGCCATTAACGCACCGGCACGCCAGCCCTGCACGTGGCTAATTTGCAATTACGATCCCGGCGAGTGTGTACCTTGAGCAACTCGATCGCCCGTGTGGACAAATCGCACGCAAATACTTTCCGAAATTTCAATCCGTCCTCCATCAACGGATAAATGAAATTGCCGACCCCGCAGCCCACCTCGAGGAGGACATTTTGATTCCCGTTGCCGCCCAGACCCGTGAGCTCGTCGAATTCCCGCGTGGTCCAGTGCCTATCTTTGAAGAATCTGGTGTCGTTCCGCTTGTAGAATAAATCCCAGTGCTTTTTCGCGTCCCTCTCGAGCTGACTCGCGCGAAACTCGGACACCAAGCGAGAATCCTGCGCCCGCATTCTATCCATCTCCTCCGGCGTGAGACGCTTCGCCACGTGGCCCGCGCTCGATACAGCATTTTCGACCGACTCGCTCATCGCTCTTCTTGCGATTGTATTACCGAACCGATTGTTTAAATTTGCGACGCGAGGCTCATCGCTCCGGACGAAGTTCGTGTGATACCATCGATGAAGAAGGGAAAATAAGTGCTTACCCCGTGAACGTGCGCGACCTCGCTCCTTGAGATGCCTGAAGAAAATGGACGAGAAACGTGACGACCGCGCGGCTCACTACGGCGACCTTCCGATGACGCGGCAACGTCGCGTGCGACGTTGCCGCGGTGAAACGGCAACGTCTTGTAAATGGCAACGTCGCATGCGCAGAATCCTACGCGACTGTCATGTGACATTTGGAGGTAAAATTCGAATGGCCGGGACAGACAGTTCGAAAAACCATCTTAACAATATGCATGTATACAGGGTGGATGTTAATGGATGCACCAACCTTTTACCATAGAAGATTAATTATTGACCGCAAGCGTAGCCAAACCTGGAAAAATGGAAAAATCTCGTTATGTATATGTTTCAATCATGTAATATCTACTTATACCTCTCGAGATACAATTGGATATTACATGATTGAGACACATACAACGAGATTTTTCCCATTTCTTCCAATTACGGGCGGTAATTTGTCTTCCATGGTAAAAGGCTGGTGCATCCATTAATATTCACCCTGTATTTAAATCGATACTTGTAATACTTGCAAAATTAAACGAGCAAATAATTAATTAACTTATGGTTAGATAAAAAAATCGAATTATAAACAGCAATTCTTTCTTTTTATAACATAAATTACCAACTTACACGTTTGTTAATTGAAAAAAAGATACCTAGAAATAGAATTGCATGGAATTTTGTCAGGTTTTTTAAAGGTTTTAAAAACTTTGTCGCAATACATCAGTAGGAATATTTCAATATTTATCTTTCTTAAACGTTTCTATAGATATAACTGTACATATCTTCTTTAATAATGTAACGTAAAATTAAATTTCAAAAATTAAATTTTAATTGTCTTTAGAGAATAATTTCAATAATAATCTGATTAATTTTAATAATTGATAAAATATATTTATTAATTACTATATTGATTAAACTATAATGATACTGTTACTTATTTAATGTTTTAAATTTAGGTCATACGAGAATTTATAAATCTTTAGTAAAGGTATTGAAACACATATACGATTTTGCTTTCATATATCAATAACTTTTACATTGATACCCTGTCATTATCTTTTTAAAAATTTAATCTGGGTTAGTTTTAATATTTTATGCGATGTATTGACGCGTTGCTTGATAAAAAAAATTAAATAGGCTTCTCTCTGCGCTCGGTATTCCACGTGCAACCACGTTTTTCTTTCATTAACATGCAGAACCCATGGGGGACAAATATTTTATGCCACCGTGCAGCATTGGCACACAATGACACACTATTAAAGGGGGCTAAACGTGACTGAAATTCAGTCAAGTAAATTGCGTATCGCTCACCGGCGATGAAAACAAAGAGCGTTTATGATAACGCAAGTATTACATATCGTTATAAATATTAATGGAACATACGAAATCGCCATACGAGATTGCGTGCATAGCGTTTCAATTGATCGCCTCCATTTTACATGTGGCATGTGCGCGCATTTTCCACATTATTCAACGCATTTTACGTTTTACGAGGAGACCATAATGTGCAAACCGAGCGCGGTCGAAAGAAAATGAATCGATTGAGTAGTATGTAGGTCATCGCAGACCACAATTTTGTAGAGAGCTTCGCGAGAGATGTAACAGCCATAGATTACCTGAATGGAATGAGAAACACGTTTCACAATTCGCAGTCATTAATGCCCCGTGTAGTAACGTCATTCTGCAGTTTTCAATGCGGCCATCCTTCACAGCCGCTTTATAATCGTACCTTGCCCTGACCGTTAAAAAATGTCGCAATTAAAATTGCACTTTTATACGCTGAATGGTGTATGGCAGACCGCAATCAGATTAAATTGACCGTATGATTTATCCTGATGTTCTCACCGTAGTTTATTGATTTTCTCATCGCCAGTTATTTCATCACTCGAACACATTAATTGATCCTAAATTATTACATTAGATCTCTAAATTAATGTATTAGGCTTTTAAAGTATAAATTTTCTACTTTAATAGTAAATTTATTTTAGATATACCAACGTAAATAACTAACCTATTGATTTTCCACAGCGAATCGATAAGATCAATTTAGAATCTTTTTCGGAAATTAGAAATATATGCCGGTATTTTCGAGTCTTGTAATATTGAATATTTTCTTGTATTAACAATTTTTAATTATTTTAAAATCTCATAAACAACACGCGCGCGCGCGCGTGTGTGTAAATTTGCCAAAAATTCAAAAATTCTGTTTTAATTTACAGTAACCTAAAGTAGTTTAAATTTTGAATGATTAAATCAAATCACTGTTAGAAATTTTATAACGATCGATATTTTACATGTGTGCGCGGTTGTAACGATCAAAGTTTTACATGAAATTATTAAAGTCGAGACAAGACAATTAAAGATTGAAATTGAATATTTTTATAGCACCTTCGAAAATCGATATCACACACACACACACATCTGAAAGGCTATGTATTAATATCAGCATTTTGTATCAAACGTGACATGTGCAAAGGATCGAATTACACGAACAATTCGTACCGAAGAGAGCCACCGGACATATGCACGTACAGTCGGCAGTGTTATAAATATCAGATTTGCATTACATTTGCTAACGTACGCTACGTAATTTTATTTCGATGTTATTACTCGAAAATTTATTTCGCTAATTAGCCGACCGTCATAGCTAAAGCGCACTTTCGCATCAGCCTTCATCCGGAATACCCCGTGCGGTTAACGAGCTACGGCGCGGGGGTGCATAATCATAAAAATAATCCTCATTCCGGGAGTAGAGAACGCGAGAAAGAGAGAGAAAGCTCTCGCGAGATTCAACGCGCTCTGGCTCTCACGAGAGCGATCAAGAGATTATCCAAACTCCTCCCGTTACCAATACGCGTTACACTTCAACGAGCTCTGTACGCAATTTACGCAGTTTCAAATATGCTACTAACGTTTCTATTAATGATGCGGTGGATCTTTTTGGCAATTTTTCCGCGGAATGAATTGCAAGGATTAACTACGACCGTTGTCACTTCCCGCCGGAATGTTGGATAGAAAGAGAGAAGTGTGAATAATTATCTTCGTGCAAAAGAATGAGAAAACTCTCTCAAAAAAAGGAATAAAAGTATATGTAGTTTTATCATTCTTAGGTTTCATTTTTTAACGGCGGAATCTTTCGTTAATTCAGATTTTATTTTAACTCGGCGAAGAAATAGCAGATCATCACTCATTTCACTTTTCAATCTGTAGCGTCATATCTGCAATTAATAATAAATACATATGCAATTAAGATTCAAATTAGAATGATATTAAAATAAAATTAATTAAATTAAATTTAATTAATAAATAAAAGTAATTAAAGTAAAATTATGTCTAAGTTATATTGGCGTAAATGCAATTTTGCAATTTATTTATCTCTCTGTTTAATTCGCGAGAAGGTTATCTGTTTCAGCTGCTTATAATCCGAAAATGATTGAAGCTTCGATATTTTTGCTAAAGGAGTTATCTCCAAATGACACTAAAAATCTACCGTTAATGACGCGCGAGAAGTAAACACACTTTACACGTATTATGTATAATAACATTTGTATATTTTTAAGTATTCAAAGTAGAGAAAATGTATATTTGGATCACGTATTATGTCATAGTTGCATGACACTAAACGATTGCTTCTTCATGTGAAGAATCTGTGCAATTGTTTACGTCTGTGTAATCCCGTGGGCACGTTTCCCACCATTTATGCAATTGTCTTACTCACATCGTATAAGAAATGATAATTGCTTCTCACAGTCAAGTGAAGCATGCTATGTTAGATTAGATCGTATTACGTCTACGTTGACAAAGATTGTATTTCTGACGTAACAAATTTGATTGGTTTCTTTTCGTTTTATGCAAAAGTTCTTCACACTTTTATGTGCGAATACTTTATGTAACAACCTACTTTGTCCTCTCATAAGAATGTAACACATACTTCCTTTATTATCATACGAATATCGTGCATTAATTAGCTTTAATGAACTTCCAGTCAAAATATAGTGTTAAATATGTATTTAATATTCACCAATGCGAAAATCACACGGACAGTTTTGCTTTTCTCAAATCGTTTAACGCTGCTCCAGCGTGAAATTTTGTTTACCTATAACAATGTAAATTATAAATAATTGATAACAGTTGCTATGCAATATTGTAATTATTAATATAACATATTTGTGCACCTGAATATAAGAACATCAGTTTCCGGATGCAATATGACGAATATAAACGTTGGTACGGCCTTCAAAGCGTGCGAATAATAAATAGTACGTAATGACTAACGAGCGAAGGATCCATAATCTAAAATGCGCAGTATGGAAGAGCACATTCGCATTCCGCACCTGCGATTTCACTCTTCGTAGCTCAATCGCTTATTTTATATAACTGCCCGATCCGAAGTTACAAAATCACGAATGCCAGAGGCGGCACCCACGATTTCATTATTTTGCGCTGCAAGGTTTTTCGTGCGTTATGCATCTGTGTTAAGTCAGCGTTTTTGTATAAAATTAACATCCCACAAACTCACTTTTCTCAACATTCCCAAATGTTAGTTGCGTTAAATAAATAATCCTAATCGTCTTTCACTATTTTCCTTCTTAAAATAAGGAGGGGAATCGAACACTTAACATTTCTTCGCGCAATCTTCCCGTGCGACGCAGCGCGTGTTTATTTAAAGCGTCAAACTGTCAATTATTCACTACGATGGAAATTTTTATATCGCGTGGTATAAACCACACAGGTGATACACGATAATTTTCACACACTCGCTGTTCAACGTGACGCGCTCAACTGCTTGAATAGTCTAAAGCGCGTGAATTTCGACTCTGTGTTCTCAACGTTCTCTGCCGGCTATATTTAGTGGAATCTAAGGAATTCTTATATATAACCAATTTCGAGTATGTGCCCGTGACAATCGATGCATCTCAATTATTACGGTGCGATGCGATCGAGAGGCGCGCACGTGACCGTAGGCGCGGCGGTGGAGGCACGAAGATGCCTCCTCGCCGTGCCTTTTCCATTCCGCCGAGGTAGGCACGGCCGAGTATCGCATATACCGTTCCTCCTCGTAGGCATTCCAAGCGGGAATTCTCGAAAGCCAGTTGTGTTGTAGAAACCGTGGTGCGGCTCGCCCGCTCGCCGGTACTTTCGACCGGTCGTAAAGCCGACGTTTCGCAGCTCCGTCCCGGTCGCCTTTCAGTAACACGGAATTTCGCCACGAAAACGGACACGATCGCTTTGCCTATCGTGGACTATCGGAGCGGCAGCCCGCCCGGAGGCCCCCCCCGTACATAAAATTCTGGTGAGTTATGCGCGCATTTCTACCTGTCCATCTACCTGCGAAATCGACGGTCACTTCTGCCGGAGATCCATCCTTAACCGTTGAATGGGACCTCGCTCGGCTGTTCAATATTTCAAACGTCGAGGCGTCGGTTCTCCAACTGAAATTTACGGTTTTAGACGCGCTTTTTTTTCCTCCTCTTTGCGGAAGAGCGCTCAGTCCCGACGTTATATTGCGTTAAAACGTATTGAAAATATATATTGGTAAACATGTCAATGGGATTATAGCGAAACTTTTCACATTTACGCGCTGCTTGTAACAACATGCTCTGACAGATATTCTGAGAAAACATGTTTTTCATTGTTTTAAGCAGTATTTTAATTAGACAATGTTGTTGTATAAAGTAAAGAAAACAATATTTGAAACGTCGAGGTTTTAGAAGTATTCACTATTCGGTATACATGGATTAAATTCTTCATGTATGTGTGTGCAGGTGTAAACAATTGATTAATATTTGGAAGATAATATAATATTTAACTTTGATTATAAATTTATTCAATTTTATCGTGACATTCTTATTATATCATTGTAACAATTAACAATAAAGATATTTAATAGCGTACTCTATTGCAATATCCTTATCTAATTGTTAACCATCGTTTTAAGCAGTATTTTAATTAGAAAATGTTGTTGTACAAAGTAAACAATATTTAAAATGACGAGATTTTAGAAGTATTCATTATTCGGTATACGTGCACTGAAAAAAATTTCTGGTTGAATATGGACGAATCAGATAATTCCTTTAGGATTTACCAGAATTCCTTTAGGATTTACCAGAATTTCTGTAGGATTACAGGAATTCTGGTAAATCCTAAAGGAATTATCTGATTCGTCCATATTCAACCAGAAATTTTTTTCAGTGTGGATTAAATTTTTCATGTATGTGTATGCGGGTGCAAACAATTGATTAATATTTAGATGATAATTCTTAATATGATATTTAACTTTGTCTATAAATTGATTCAATTTTATCGTGATATTCTTATATCATTGTAACAATTAACAATAAAGATATTTAATAGCGTACTCTATTGCAATATCCTTATCTAATTGTTAACCATCGTTTTAAGCAGTATTTTAATTAGAAAATGTTGTTGTACAAAGTAAACAATATTTAAAATGACGAAATTTTAGAAGTATTCATTATTCGGTATACGTGGATTAAATTTTTCATGTATGTGTGTGCGGGTGCAAACAATTGATTAATATTTAGATGATAATAATTCTTAATATGATATTTAACTTTGACTATAAATTGATTCAATTTTATCGTGATATTCTTATTATATCATTGTAACAATTAACAATAAAGATATTTAATAGCGTACTCTATTGCAATATCCTTATCTATTCGTTAACCACTTAGACCTGGTTTCACCAACGTCGCTTAACTTTCAGCTTAGCTCAATTCGTTCTTTGTCTCTTTCCAACTGTTACCCTAGAAAGAGACAAACATGAATTAAACTAAGATTAAAGTTAAGCGACGTTTGGTGAAACCGAGCCTTAGAAAAATCAATTCACGCATTATTATAATTCATTCGAACTTCACTTATTTGTGGGGAACACAAATAAATTGTCTACATTGAGATTAAGCTTAGAATCGAGATCGCTCGTTTCTGCGTAATGATGCCAGCCCCTCGTCATCGTAGAAAATAGCCATTAGACGGATTACGAATGCTCCAGTTTCGCGATTTAAGTGCCAAGAAAAAATCACAGAGAAATTTCTTAAACGATCGCCAACATTTCAAACAAATGGCGATTCAAATGATGGTTTAAAAAAAACTAAAAACCTGATGAAAATCAGAAGATTGCGTTAGTGTTGTCGCACTGACGATGTCTCGTGAGTTTAACTTTCATACTGTTCCTTGAAAAATCTAAAATTATTGGAACTGCTTTACTTGGCTGCGTTCAGCAATTCGTTCGCCAGATATAGCGTTTATACAAGCTTCAATGATCGCCGAGAATAAATTATATTAACAGCCAGGAGAGAGACGCAGACGTTTATTTTAGAACCGATATCCGTCGTTTGGCGAGTTTACCCTCCAAATTGATCTTTGACGGTCCTAAGATCGACGGGACCGTTCGGTCCCGCTATGTTTAGAAATCCACCGCGGGTTTCATTTGCGAAATGCATCCCGCGAGTCTCTCGGCTCTCGAGCCACCGAGGAAAACCTCACGAACGAAATGTCAGGGCTGAAGCCATTTGCATGAGCGATTCCTTTGTCTGGATTCTTCGGGCAGGGCGAGGCCTCGCCGTTTCCGCTTTAGAACCTTCGATTATCGCCACTGGCGGACCGTGTCATCGCGAACGAGACCATTTCCGGGATCTTCGATCGGTTATCCGCGTCATGAATAATGCTTCTGCGTCGTGTCGCGTTTGCAGGAACGAAGGCCGCGGGAAAGAAAGGCGAATCGGCGTGAAATCGCCGTACAATAAGTTCTAATCGTCGCTTAGACGGCTCCCCGCGGCGCGATCCGGTCTTAATTAAGTCGAGACGATCGCGGGGCGAATGGCGGATCTCGCGGCACAACATCCGCGCCTAATTCCGGGGTTGCGCCGTGCAATTTTGCCAGGCATTCGGATTCGCTCCGTGCTCTACTTAACTGGCGATTTAATTTTCACTCGCGCCACTGTTACAATCGTTAACGCCGCGGCCGAGTAATTAAACTGCTCTCTCTGATCATCTTCACTGTCCGCGAACATGCGACGCGCCGCGCCGCGCCGCCGTCGCTCTCGTCGTCATTGTGGGCGGCCTATAATCTCTCCGATCTCCCGGACACTCGTCTTGCCAGAAGTGGCCGATAACGATGAGATTTCTAAATGCTGCGAAACGAGACGGGATTGGTTTCTCTCCTCGTCTCGAGAGATTGTGGCAGTGGCATTTACGCGAGTCAGACAGCGCTTTTCATTCAAGTTATCTTAATCGTGCCGCGAGCAATTAAATCAAATTTCCATTTCCCCTCGCAGACAAACTTAACCCGCGCATCAATTGTCAAATACCGTGGACTTGGTCATGTTACATTTAACCTGCGAATATTTTATTTAAGCGGAAAGAATCCGCGTGTGTCTGTGAAAATAAAAGGTAATTTTGCTCCAGGCAAACCAGATCGTTTCGATTGAGACTATTGTAATTTGACGCGCGTTGCGTTGACGGAACGAGATCCCTTTGTGGCAATGACAATTAGAAATTGTGCGTGAGCGAAAACGCGGCGCGTTAAACTTCTTTTTATGAAGATTCGCCACCTTCGACATGCCCTATTTATAGCGTCGACGTGGGCTGGTCGCAACGTTACAAGTGCTGCGCACCGATGCATGGATCGGATTTCAGAATCGGGTGTAATTAACTGGCGTATTCATGTAACAGTGAAAACAAAAACAAAATCGTAACGCCGCGGCAGGACATTGATATAGAGCTCCGCTTTGCGCGGAAATTACATCTTATTACGGTGAAATTGATAGCTATCTTGCACCCACTGCGAACTTCGAAATCAGGTCGACAGAAATAATTGCCATGTCGACCAAATATCCCGCCGTTAAACCGATGTAACTTAAGAAAGTCAGCCATTAGAGAGAGCGCGCTTGGCTCTCCCGAACCATAAATTAACCGGTAGCAGTATTGTGATTTCAATTAAGTGATTTATCGCGCTACATTAGTCCGCGCAACGTCTCGCGTTCAACATCATCCCCATAATTGAACCCTCGCGGTAGGCGACTAATTCCGAGAGGACAACGCCGCTTTTCATTCGGATTTTCCCTCCCCCCCGACTACGTCGCTCTCCATTCAAATTTTCCCCGGCCGCGTCGCTTTTCATTCAAATTTTCCGTATTTTCGCTAAGTAAAGACGATGAAGAGCGCCGTCAAAGAGATTCAATTCACAATTTGTTCTTCCTTCATAAAGCCTGATCAACTTCGTCAGCGCTCATTCCAAACAAATAGTCTTCTTTCCCTTGTCTTCCCTTTACAATCCGGCGAGCGAGTTACCGTCTAATTTCGAAAGAAGCTACTTCCTCCGCCGATCAAAGAGGAAGACTCTGGATTTCCTCGCGGTCCGCGAGCACGCCGATGCTGTCCGGATGAATGCACTTCCTCGTCAACAGTCGCGAAAGTAAGCGTACGGAATATCGAGTCCGGCGAATCGCAATGTCGGTGACCGCGCGAGCAACGGCTCGCAGCGGGCCCCTCGTCGATACGCATTCCTGGACGAGCGCAACGTTCTCAGGCCTTTCAGCTAACGCGGCGGGAAAAGTGCTTAGCTTAAACTTTCTAAGCGTTTCACGTCGCGCCACATCGCGGCTCATATTCGGTCGAGGGGGAAAAAAAAAAACAGACAGATGCGTGCGGCTCCTGTAAGGAAAAGCCCGCGGAACCGAGTCCGTCATTGTGCAATTCCGATAAAACCGCACCCGGGATTTATTTATGCGATCGCAGTCGACCGCTAACGAATGCAATTAGAACTCCATGCACGCCCGCTCTCTGCCCACTCGAGTCGCTTAATTACGTCCGTGGAAATTTTTGCGCAGAAGCCGAAGTCGCTCGCACATAGTTTTTCCTTTCCGCTCATTCAGGTTTAATTTGTGTCTTAAATCCTGCACGAGATATAATCTGAGACCCGTCGCGTCTCACTTTGACGAAAATAATTAACGCACAATCTCAAACTGAAACGAGAAAGGAATTATCTTGCTCCGGACAATACGTGAGATTCATTCTTTAACATTTTGCTGAATATTCCTAAATTTAAATACAAGTCCGCTAAATTCAATTAGTATACAATTTGTCAGTGGCGAGTGTGGCGCAGAGAAATGTGCGCCGCTTAGTAAACAAATGAACGAAAAGATGCGAGTCCAAATCCACGAATACCAATGGTTTTTCCGGAATTTTCCGACAGAAAGTGGTAACCACCAAGAGTATCCTGCCGCACATGTCCTTTTAGGGATACAGCCCTCCAGTTTGGAGGTTTTC